CATCAATTACTTGATATTCGAAAACAACAAGTATTTGAAGAAATCAATGACCAAAAAAAGAGACGATGTCTTGCATTACAGAAACAACATGAAGATGTTCAGAAAATAGTTAAAGACAGTGAAATATTAGAACTCGTTGCAAAAGAAATGCTGTTAAAGGATGATTTACACTTATTGAAAGTTAAAAATGAATTATTCATTAATCTTGCAGAGTTTGATCATTTAAAAAAACAACCAAAAATTGAACTGTGCTCAATAAATAATTATCAGTCATATACAACCGATACGGAAGCCTTCAATACACTTCGACAACAAATTGAAAAACTGGGTACTGTGGGTGAATCACTTACACTTAAAACTGGTACAGTTGCTTAACATCCTTGTTTTGACTGTTATTTATATAGTTTCAAATGAGCTTGTACACGTTTTATAAATGATAAATGTATTTAGTTTAAACGTGTTTTTATTTCATCACAATAATGGTGAAAAACATACCATTTTGTAGGTTTCTTTAATAATGGCTCTACTATCTGTTGCAAAATATAGTGCAGTTCAATGCTTTTTAATAAAATTTGAACGGGAAGAACTAGTGACCTTCGGACTTAGATTTTCCGAACAGATTTGCTATGGTGCCTCTCCAAGTACCCTGATTCTTAAGCTAATCTCCGATGGTTCACTTATCGGCTAAACCTAAAGTCTAAAAACCTTAAAAACACAAGAAACATAGATTTTCGAGCACCTGAAATCTCGTGGCAATGTTTGTTTTGTTGTTTGAATTAAAGAAACCGCAAAAGACGAATTTTTTCACTGTGACGGTACTAAAATAAAAAGCTTCTAGTACCTTCATTTTTCAAGCAAATTGCTTCAGACTTTCAAAACTCACTCAGTTTCGCCTACTGTACAGCTTAGGAATGTTAAAATTATTTCTCATACTGAGATTTCATCTAAAGATTTTTAGAAGTTTTCTGTAAAAGCTATTAAAGACCTGCTCTTTTTTTTATACTCCTGTTCAACAGATATAATAGAACAACTTTCCTTATGCTCATTATTCATATTTCATGCAGTTTGGT